CTTTGAACGTATATGGTGGAAAACGCATCCATGTTTAGTCGATGTTTCTTATCCTAGTGGATTCCGAAGTGCGAGCTAGCCCTGACGGCCTTGCTTGGAAGAGACAACAAGACGATGGTATTAGATGTCGAAATCGGCTAAAGCGTGTGTGATAACTCATCTACTGAATTTCTCATTTTCAAAAACCTTGCTTCCTTTCTACCTTATGCTAACGCAGCTCTCGACGGGAGTTGTTTTCATAATGCCAGAGCTTAGTCGCTTCCCTTATGCTAGCATAGACAATCTGACCAGCCCCAACTCTACTCATACAGTCGGGGAATCCTCGGATAGAAATCCACTACTAAGTGGTTCACTTGGTTTTTACTCCCATACCCAAACTCGACGAACGCTGCGTGCAATAGCACGCCTCGGCCCTAGTCAACACCACTTACAAGCCAACCCGGACCGCTGTGTCACCAGTCATGGAAATCTTCTACTCATGAGAGCTTAGCAACCCGCTTCCTAAGACGGGGTGGAGGGCGCAAGGCTCGCTGTGCAGTCTACAACATAAGCCTTGTGACTGGGAACGGTGCTCTGTGGAAACAGTAACCTGCAACATGTAACCTGCGCAACTACGTTCTGGACTACTCTGTCCAAACAAGAGTCTCATCGGCTTGGCTCACATTCGACTCCCTCACGACAACCAACAACTGATGGATGGTGCGCTCGCAAAAAGTCCCTGCCGCTCAGGTTTCTTCCGGCTCGTGGGCTAATTACACGCTGGCTTGCATGCACGTTAATCTCCTTGGTCCGTATTTTAAAGATGGACAAGATAGAGAAATCCCGTCAGCGTTCCGAACACACTGGAATCTGTAGGTCCGTCAAAACGAGGCGCGTGCTCAAGGCCGGACCCTCGACCGTCGCGACGACCTCAAAATCCAGCGTCGCGCCTGAGTCAACTTAAAGGAGCACCGAAGCAAAATAATAATAATACAACAATAAATAATAAAAATATTTAGAAACTTTTAATCGTCAGAATATGACGAACGAGGGAAAAAGAAACCTGTTAGCACCGCTCTGACGCCACCGTCGGCAAAACCAAGGGGGATAGCCCGGCCAGACCCTCAACCCTACGGTCCCTTCGCACTACTCTGATATCCCCGCATCGTCACCACTCGATCTTGATCCCCGAATCTCTCGAGCGAAAATCAAATACCATAACCAATAGTGCTAGACTCAAGGCTGGTTCTAGCACAGGTAATAACCTATATAAGCCGATACCACGTGGCGCGCCAGTCTACTAAAACGTCCGAGGGCCACGTCTCGGTCTACCAACTAATCCCACGCTCACTAAACCTTCCGCATCCACCGCGCGACTATATAGAACCGTGTCTTCGTCGATGCTATCCTCCATATGTATGCACAAGTCACAGACAAGTGCACCAATCAAGAAATATATTTTTTTTAATCCTGGTTTAATCAGAAGAAAAAAAACTTGGCCGGCAACTACCTTGGCTACAGAAATAAATCACGATCGCCTTAAGTCTGCGCGCCCCCACACTCTCTACCCTAGTCAAACATTCAATCATCGTAAACCAGAGTTCACAACCAGGATTTTTAGGACTACCTGTACCTGACCTAACCACACCCTCTTTGAAAACCAACCACCCATACCCACTGTATACCTAGCCTGCCGAAAGTTTACTCATCTCCACCTGCTTAAAAAAGAAAAACCTATGCCCAGACCTACCCTACCTGAACCTCTTCAGCATGTAATTGACCATACCTACCCATGGAAAATTATTTTTAAAACAACCCATGGCCACCTGAAGCCAAACCGTCTGTTAACCACCCATACCCTGCCCTACCCAAGTTTTTTTTACTTGTACCCACCCGCACCTACCCATAATTGTACGCACCCACCCGTAACCACTCGTGTTCGTCGTCCACCCTCCCCTAACCGCCCATAACCGCCCCGAACTGTCCTTAACTGCCCCTAATTGTCCCTACCCCCCCCTAACTGTCCCTAACTCTCCCTAACCACCCCTAACGTTTTTTTTTTTACTGCCCCTAACAACCCCTAATTATCCTTAACCGCCCCTAACTATTCCCAACCCCCTAGATGTCATAAGATTGACATGGTAATTTTTATTATTATTAATATTATTATCTTGTTTTATTTTTTTCGAGATGTGGCAGCTGTTGCAGCTACTGCCCCAAAAGCAACATTTGTTACATCTCGTCACTCTGATGTTGTTATGTATAGCATCTGCAAATACAACAACCCTCGGTCTGTTGCGCACACACACACACACACACACACACACACACACACACACACACACACACACACACACGCATACACACACATAAATACTACATACACAGGGTTACACACATATGAAAATAGTCTGAAAATTTGAAAAAATAAAAAATAAAAAAATGAAGAGATATAAAATTCACCCTTGTAAGAAAAAACGTTTGCGAAATGGGAAAGCGATAAATTCGGAATATGAGAAAAACGTCACGCTTGAGCAAAAATACAAAGCATGCAAAGCTACAAGACTCACATCGGGTATAGCACGGTTACCTGATCGGAACCTCTACCCGCTCGTATCCACCCTTTTTTTTTTTGGCCACCCGTACCTGCCCATACGCGTCTATTTTTTTTTTCTCGCCGCCCATACCCGTCCCCCCCTCCCCCCCGCCTACGCCTACCTGCCCCTACCCACCTATGATCTCCAAAAAGGGCAATTGTACCCGCCCTAACAACCACCACCTTTTGTTTGTGCCTGCCCATACCCAACTCCCACCTTCGAAAGGGGTACCCACTGCATACCCACCCGTAACCTGGCGGTTACAGTCGGGTACGGCCGGGTACATGTAACGGTTACCCGTTTGCGCTCTCTGTCGTAAACTACCGTGACAGACACAACCGCACCTCGCGCGGTGTACTCAGATTCTGAACTAAACCTATTTTATGTCACTTGCAAAAACCAGGGTGGGTACCCCTGCAAGGGTATTCGCACCGACAACTCCATTTCTTTCCCTCGCGGCGATGACCATTTCTCACTAAAACTGGAACCACGCGGGGGATTTCAGCTCTATCTGTGTCCCCACACTCAATTTTAGAAAAATCATTGGCACACCCCATTTTGTTGTTCTTCCAGGGCCTGTTCCGCGTTTTTAATCACTCCGACTTGAAGACAGCATAGGGCGTGAGGTTCCCTGAACATCGCAACTCTCCGGTCAAAGATCAGTAGAACGGGTGATGATCCATGGTATGCTCAGGTAGGACCTTGGGAGTAGGGATGTGCTGGGGATCGTGATGATGAGTAAGGGTGAGGGGGTGTCTCAAAGGGGACTGGTTAATCAATAGATTTGGATGATCAAATGAACAGGTGCTGGCAGGCTTGTCATATGCCTACCGTCTTCCCCCAAACATAACGCATATGCATTGTAAACGAATGCAACGCATACGGTGCGCTGTATTCGTTTACAACGCATATGCTTTATGTTTGAGTGAACGAGACCAACTTTGCCTGCACAAAAGGGTCGGGTTCAGACTGAGCAAGCTCATTTCTGGACCACGGCTGGGGGCCTCAAAGCCTTGGCAAAAAGGTAAAAGTAAAGTAGCGATGTACCTTTCCGTGTTCTGGGTTGAGTTTCATTCCTTCCCCCTACTTGGGCCCTTGCTCCACTCCTCAACAAATATGCAAAATCTGAATGATTCTTCCGCTAGAACGTGGACAAATACGACCCTTTTTTTTTTTTTGCCTCGGTGACCACGGTAGTGCAACGAGACCTTGGTGAGTGGCTTTCTTATTTTTCCACTTGCTTGGCCGCGCCACATTCTTGGTTGTTAGAAGTGCCGCTTTCTTGGTTGTCAGAAGCGCCTTCACGCACGGAGAGAGAGAGAGAGAGAGAGAGAGAGAGAGAGAGAGAGAGAGAGAGAGAGAGAGAGAGAGAGAGAGCATGGCCAGTGACCTGTGATTACGGGTCTGCACGGGCCTGTCCCGTTCACCAAGGCAAGAACGGAGCAGGCGTTGACCTATGGGGAAAGGTTATATTCGAATACACCAATTTTCTCTTTGTGAAATTCAAATATAACGCATATGCGTATTATTCGAATACAACGTATATGGGCTTGTATTCGAAGAAATTCTGAAAACAGTTTTTTTTTGGAAAACTCGAATATAACGCATATGTAGCCAGCCTCTACAGCAACCTGGACTTCAAAAAAAAAAAACGAAAAAAAAATTCCCCGTAACAAAATGGTACAAGCCTACAAGGCAAATTTGCTAAGTGCAGCGCAAATTCCCATAAGAAAATGGCACAACGTAAATTTACCCAAGATTTGGGGCAGTAGTGGATATAGTCGCCAGGAAGATATTTCAGGAGGCATGACAAAATTCTTGCTGTTCCAGCAAATGAGCCGAATGTGAATTGGGCCGAATGTAGTGCCATGAGTAGAATTGCAGGCGTTCTGTGAATTGGGCCGTTTTCGGTCCTACCGGTAGCGCACCAGTCGCCATCCACCGACAATTTGAATGCCTCTCGACTGACATGCTCTCCATATGCATTCAAAATGTTGGAACTAGGCCCTTATCCCACAGCCAGAGCTCATCCTCAATCCCATCCCGACTCATTCATCAGAGGCACGTGAAGTCCTGCCACTCCGTGGCGCGAGGTCGTTGGCACGGGATTGTGCTTCACTTTTTGATCTTCATGAATCCTGGCCTCCAACAGGAGAGCAGGGAGCGGCAGCCCAACTACAGAGGCTCAGGAATGAGGAATCATGAGCCCAACGGCAGCTCAGCTTCGGGGCAAGCTCTGCGCCATCTCCACATGGGATCCAGCTGGGAGGTCATTCCTGGACCAAACTTGGGGCCCAAACTGTTCCAGGAACAGAAGGGTTGACATCCCAAGCACCGTGGAACAGAAGCCCGGCGGTTCGGGGATTGCCATCATCGTCGTATGGGAAGGGCTATATCTAGAGGACGTAGACTAAGTTACAATCGGAGCGTTGAGTTTGTTCTCTGGCTACCAAGCGGCACCGGCGATCGGCTGAGCCTCTCTCTCTCTCTCTCTTCTACTTCTTTTCTCGAGAGAGAACGTAGTACGCTCGTCGAGTCCACCAGCCGTCGACCACCATGGCCGCCATCGCCGCCGTTGCTGCCGTTGCGCCGAGCACATTCGCCGGCCAGACTGCTCTGAAGGAGCAGAGCGAGCTGAGCCGCCATGTCGGCCAGTCCGAGTCTCGCGTTGTCATGAGGAGGACCGTCAAGTCCAGCGACAGCCTGTGGTACGTCTCTCTCTCTCTCTCTCTCTCTCTCTCTCTCTCTCTCTCTCTCTCTCTCTCTCTCTCTCTCTCTCTCTCTCTCTCTCTCTCTCTCT